CAACATTTTGAAGAGAATCCTGAGAAGAAGGATTAGGAAAAAGCGGTTGCGAAGAAATAACTTCTGAGGAGGAATCCTTTTGCAAAGAAGAACGCAAATCTGTAGGTTCCTGTACAACTTCAGTGATCACACCTGACTGAGATATATTTTCTGTCAACTCTTGAGAYTCCTCTGGGAGAGAAAGAGCAGGATGTTGTGGAAAGTCCTGTCCTTCTGGACGATCTATAGCGTAACGAGGAGGTTCAATAAGATCCTTCGAGCAAGCATAAGAATGGTGACCTTGCGCACCACAGCGGTTGCAGACACCTTTTAGGGGACATCTTGTATTTGAATGTCCCCACCAGTTGCATGAGAAGCAACATAATGGTTGACTACGGTATCTAATATGAGCAATAAACGGGTCCAAAAGAACACTCGTTAGGAATATGCTCATTTAATGTTATAAAAAGCCGTCTATCTCCAGTTTCAAAGCCAAATTTATCTAAATTTCTCACCACTTGATTTACGCTCCCATATTTTTCAAAATATTCCTTGATGTCGTCATCCTCCACCTCACAAGGGAGGTTTGAAACCGTCACAACTTGTTGAGGTGATTCAACCCCATTGAAAAAGCAAAAAYAGCCCCTAATATAGATTCCTTTCGTAAATAACTGTTCCCTTTGTCTATGAGATTCCTCCTTAAACGTTACTCTACAAGAATAACCTGTATTGGACACCTGAACACATTTTATGGCAGTACGCAATTCATTTCCAAGAACTTTTCCAATGGCCGAAATAATTTCATCCCTGGTGACCGGCTGTCTAAGCCTCTGTAATTGACGTGGAAGCCCTAATTCCAATGTATTTGGCCTATGTACAGAGAACATATTTGACCAAAAAATAATATACCAAAAATATTAATAATCAGTGCCCTTGAAGGAAATATTCCTAGGTTGTCGAAGTAGGACAAACCTAGGGAATAATCCAACCGGGGAAGGAGGATACAACTCCAGCTCTTGACTTCARAAATCTTGATTCTTGAGTCTTGAGAATCTTGAGCCTTGAATCTTGAACTGTGAATCTCAGATCTTGGACTTGAATTTCTACACCGACTTGTAAAGAAAAACTTCACCAACTATCGGCAATCGTGAGCTTACTTGCCAAAGATGATTAACCCCTTTTTGTTTTAGCTTCGCACCAGTGTCCCAAGATGTGAAAAAGGGACAGCATGGTGGTCTTTAGCAAGGGGGGGGGGGTCCTACATGCTATGACCAGCGAAAAAGATTTTGTTTCTAAGATGACAAGGTTCCTGTTGTTTCTTTGTCCCTTTTGGGATGTATGAAAATGCAGTCGAGATCTAGGCATTTGCTTAGACATGCGCAGTATACACATAATGTTTACCAATGTGTTGTAAAATGAAAACTAAAGTATTTGAACCTGACGAGACACGAAGCAAGAAAAGGAATTGACTCTAGAATAGGGGGCATATACGAGGCTGGAGGCTTAACAAATCTGTTTCTGATCTTCAAAAATTCATAACTGATTTTCTGTTTTAAATTTTATACTACACAATTATAACGGAGATGTTTTAGAGTACAAACTAACTGAATTTCTTTATGATTTTTTAATTTTTTAAAAATCTAGTCAGTACCCAAAACTAAAAATTCGAAATCTAAAAAAAAACATTCAAACTTTAGTGGCGGCRTCTTGAGAGCAGGGGCTGCTTAGCGTGGTYTCGAGCAGTATAGGGGCAATGTCAACCAAGCKTACRAAACCGATGTCAGGAAGAGGAGCCTTCTTTMTAGATTTTTAGTTTAAAGTTAAAGTTTTTATTTTTAGTTCAAAAATATGAAAGTTACCGACTGATTAGGTTTGATTGACGGCAGTGGAAAACCAAATTTCAGCGTGCAACTCAAGAGCACCGAGGTCGCATGTTTATGAAAATAGCTGTGTATATAATAAACGTGCCTACAAGAAAACAGAGACACGGAAACAAATATTTCTTTCAAGCTCTGGTATTTTTTTCCGGTCATGCTTTGCTTACCGCGTTCACCTTGGACTACCTGTGGTACCAATATGGCGGCTGTTATTGCTCGTAGTGGCTCTCGTAGTTTTTCACTGATTTTAAGAAAACAAGCTCTTACCATGACGAAGGGATTATGTTCAAGGTACATTTTTTTAGAATATGAATCTTTCTTTCGAACACAACATTTAAGTTTACTTGCTCAAAACTATTAATTAATGAAATTTCTTTAAATTTTGCAACTGGAAAATTTTTTAAATGTGTTCTTTTTTGTTCCAAATAGTTCAGGAGAAGAACCAGGTCCAAGAATCTACACCAGAACAGGAGACAAAGGTAATAATACAATAATATTGTTAGTACATTGTTTTATCTGTTATTTTTAAGTCTTATATCAGTGTGTGCAATATCACCCCCCCCCACCTGCACTCCCCCACTACTGCACTCCTTAAAAAAGGCGTGCGCATTTTCTTTGATTTTTACTTTTACCTCTCAATGGTTTTCTACTAGCTGGATTTTTTGTTCATATTTTCTTTGTGCTTATGCAAGTAAATTTGATTAAAAATCAAATACCTCTCCTCCCCTTAGGCCTCTTCCATTTCCTTTCACCTCCTCCATCAAAGTCAAACCTTAGAGAAACCAAAGGGAGCTGTGCTAATATTGGTAWATATATTACATAAGCTTGTATTTAAAGAAAATCCTGGATTTAATTTGGAGTKCATCCATTTTTTACCCTTATAGCTAGTAWTTTTTGTTGGAAGGTGTTATAATTRTAGGGTACTGCGCGCATTGCCTTATGGACAGTGAATGAGGTAGAAAGAGTGTTCATGGGGCAAGGATGGTGTTGAATACACTTAAAATACAGTAAAACCCCACATATAAGAACCTAGATTTTTCCAAGTCACCCTGAAAAGGTTCTTACATAAATGGTGCTTAACTAGAAATCAGGCTATCTAGGTTCTTAAATGGGTTTTTAATTTTTGGTAAGAAAAAGACTGTACTTGTATTGGTGGGCCAGGGCTGTCAACTCTCCCGGATAAACCCGGAGTCTCCAGATTTTGGACCRTGTCTCCCGGTCTCCAGATTAGAGTATCAAATCTCCCAGATAATCCCCGAAGCTGACCATTTCTTGTCTTGTGAGACTAGACTTTCACAACCATAAAATTCCAATTATTTCCTGTTGTTTGTGTTATTTTATATCRCTAACAAAATCAAAACGTTCCTCATGGCTGTTCTTGCAAGCAGGCCATTGTGATATAAGCGATAATCTGATTGGTCAGAAATAAACCAATCACATCAAATGTTACAAAGCGAAAGACCTCTTTTCGTGCCCTTTTTGATGCGCTGTGACGTCATGTCCCTTCCCTATCAATTCTCCAGATTTGAATATCTCGGGGGTTGACAGCCCTGGTGGGCGTCTTATTTCATGGACACAGTGTAAGCACTTTCTAACATACAGAGTACTGTATTTTATTATTTATAAGAAAATAAAACAGATTGACYGTTTATCTTTGGAAATTAAGAACCTACTTTGAAATTTCAGCCTGAAATGGTTCTTATGTGAAGGGTGCTTCAAGTGAAAATTTCAGCCTGACAGGTTCTTAAATTTTAGGTTCTTATACCCGGGGTTTTACTGTATAAGACCATTTTTGTATATGTTTTAAAAACACTGGTTTTCAGGATTTTCCAGTACCTTTGGTGGGCAACGACTACCAAAAACTGATATTCTTTTTGAAGCACTTGGTACCAATGATGAGCTTTCATCACATATTGGGTAATCTATTATATTTCAATAAGAATTTGTTTTTTATGTACATACATTTAATGATTTGTAATTAACACCAAATTTATTGCTACACTTCCTCACCATACACAAGGCTACTACAATAACTAAGCTGGCAATTCCTGGTTTTCACATGACGTCATCAGAACATCAAAATCTAAACTATGCATGGTATAAAGGCATTTCTCAATTATGTTTTAGAAATCAGTGTTATAAGTCACAAGAAAAAATCTTGAATAATTTCAATGTTTGCATCCTGAGTTATGAAGGTTGAGTTTGTGTCACGCAATACCATCATGCCTATCTAAATAGCAATGAAAATATCAAAATAATTTACCATAGTTGGAAGATTCTCCCTTAGGCATGTTTAAACTCTATTTAAAGTATATTTAAGTGAAACATATTCAAATTTATTGAATATTCCATTATCATAAGCCATTGAAGTTTCGTCCACCATATTGGTAAGTACCAACTTGGAACACCAACATATGGCCACTCCATTATTTCTACTAAAAATTGTGCCATGTTTACTCGCCTATAATTCCACAACAAAATGCTATACAACCTTGAAATTTTACCAGTATGCATAGTTTTGACGTACGAGATTATGAAACTTTTCTTTTATTATGATGTGAAATTACGCTTTAAAAATTCATGATGACGTAGGTAAAAAACCATGAATAGTCTTATTTTTATCAATCATAAATATCAAACATATCTGAATTCCAATTGGATCTGACTTTGTTAAGCTTATAATCTGTCTCAGGAGACTGATCAATCACTCTCTGCAGATCCAGTATGTAAAATATTAAATTAATACCATTATCATGTTCAGTTTTTGCTCAATGTTAAAATACATGTCCTCTAAATAGGGTTGCCAAGGAATTTTGTGAAAATTCAGGACATGAGGATCTTATCAATAAACTAGACAAGGTAAGCTGTCCATAAAGTAGATACATGCTGGTACTTGCTATATTCATGTCTGGTGTTCGCTTAATAGAGAGCATAATAATTTAAACCTTCAATTTTTTTAGATTATTTTTTTTATTCAGATGCTATTGATATTGTATTGAAGGTGAAAACATTTTGATTAGTGTCATTTTCCACTAATAGAGGTTTTGGTTGAATAAAGCTTTTTTACAGTAAATATGGAAGAAATTTGCATTGCCAAAGCTAGGAAATTCCAGTTGATTAAAGGATGTCAGCTTGATATAGGGGCCACTAATATTTTTTTTACAATTGTATTTACATTATTTAGTTTTACAATGGTACCATTGTTATTTATAAAATTACGTATTTTAGAATTTTTGTTTGTATGGTTAATTGCATTACCTCATGTACTAGATTCAGTGTATTCTACAAGAGGTTGGCTCCAACATTGCAACTCCAAGAGACACATCAAGAGAAAGAAAATTGAGTAAGTTACTGTATTTTGGACTCTAAAACCAATGCATTTCAAGCATTCCTGCCTTCCTTTAAAATTTTTTTATAACTAATCATTTTAAAATATTATTGATTTGTTGTTTTTTCAGAACAAACAGAGTTTAACGAAGGATACATACCAGAACTGGAAAAATGGATTGATGTTTACCACAACCAGCTTCCTCCTCTTAAAAACTTTATTCTTCCAGTAAGTGTACTGATACCCATTCTTCTTAATTATTATTATGGTCCCCCCTTTTAATTTGGGATGCATTTATAAATTCATTTCTGGAAACCATATTTTAAGAATTTAATTGGGGCCTGGCTTACGCCCCTGGACCTTTTCTGGTTTTATTTTGCATATAGTCACCAATAAGTTTGATATATAATGCCAACTTTTTATGCCACCCCCTCCCCCATTTGCAGATAAAAGTTCCTGGATCTACCCTTGATATTAGTAAATGCAGCATGGTGCTGATGCCATTGGTACACACAGCTTTCTTTGCAGAGAATTAAATGAAATCATTATGTCTATATATTTTCTGTGTTTATAATTTAGTCAGGGGGGAAGAGCAGTGCCTTGTTACATGTGGCAAGAACACTATGCAGAAAAACAGAAAGAAGGTATGGCAAAAAAAAAAACCAACAATAAAACTAGCATTTTTATTATGCTAACCAAATTTTGCAGTAAATTTTGTTTTCATTTTGCTTTGTTTTGTGAGGGATTCCCTCTTGGGCTGCAATTATCCAAAGCCTAGAGCTATTCCCTGACATGCACAGGTGGTAGTCTCTAAATATTATTTTTATTTATTTATTGTTGATCATAGAGTTGTTCCTCTTGTGCAGAATGGAAGTGTTGATCCAGCTGTTGGGAGATACTTAAACAGGTAATAGTTATTGATAAAAAACAGTAACAATCAACTTGTGTTTTGGTGTTGCAGGTGGCTAATTGTGGCGTGTGGTGTGTGTGGCGTGTGGCGTGTGGGTGCTGGGTGCTGTGTGTTACAGTGCTGTGTGTTGCGGTGCTGGGTTTTGAGTGCTGGGTGCTGGGTGCTGTGTGTTGTGTGTAGTGTGCTGTGTGCTGTGTG